AGTCTAAATACTAGAGCTATCTACATGCTTCTCTGGGTAACCACCAAGTCCAAATCTCTTCAGGACTCAAGCACAAAATTTTCTTCTAGCTAATTCTAGATGACAGGCTAAATACTAGAGCTATGTACATGCTTCTCATGGGTAACCACCAACTCCAGATCTCTTCAGGACTCAAGCACAAAATTTTCTTCTGGCTAATTCTAGATGACATGCTAAATACTAGAGCTATGTTAAAAAACGAAGGGGTTTTATCAAAAAAGGAAGAGGAAGATCTTGGGTTGCTTAAGACAAGTACTATGTTGCTTGTTGTCAAGCTTGGATAAGAGATCACATGTAATCTTGTTATGGCTGTTTTATTCCTAGAGCTGGAATTGGTTAATTTTTAACCGGTCCAATGATTGTTTTCCTTTCTTCTCTTTCTTTCCCCTCCTATTGTAACTTACTCATACTTTTATAGTTTTATATATACCTTCAAGAAAAGCTTTTACATAAATTAGTAGGAACATCGGAATCAAACAGATCTGATGTTTTCTTGCCTCGGCAAACTAGGCACCGCAAAATTGCTGGCGAGGTCCATGGTAGCATATTAAGATGGAATCTCCTTGGTGGACACTACAACTACAAAACCAGAAACTAGGAAGTAGGGAGAAGAAGATGAGCTGGATTGAAAGGGAAAGAGATGACATGATGATGGCTACACAAGGTTCCCGATGCGCTTCAACTTTCCACATCCACAAGCCATCAGGCAGGGTGTTTACACACATCTTCCCGACAAGATCAGCATCCCTGTCGATCGTCCTAACCCTTGAGCATGATCTGCAGAATCATCAAATACCATCTACAATTGGAAACATCAAACATGGAGCTGGCCACTACTCTGTTGCTGTCTCACGCCGCTCTGGTTGATACTACCTATGAAATTCCTGCAAATTTTAGTGCGTTTCAAGCGGGACCTAAGAAGATTGCAGACATAGCAACTCACATTCAGATGTCTATACTCTCCTTTTTTGCGAATTAAAAGTAATTCAGATGTGTATACTCAAGCAAAAGAAGCCAAGCATTTCTCATTAGAGTAGCGATACATTAAAAGTAAGACATACAGGGCAGCTAATTTCCGCATGTGTCTTGGGATCTGACGAAGCCTAAGTAAAACAACAGCATGAGAAAAGTGTTATTCCTCTGCGCTACCAAGTTTTCAGCTGAGACGGATGGCTGCAAATGCCATCTTCTAGTCCGGGGTCCGTCCGGCGGCACTACTCCGGCTTCCTTCCTCCTAGAACTAGAAGAAGGCTCGGCTTCCGTAGAACACCTTGGGAGATTTCTCCTGCGCAGCCCCGGCCGTCGGTTTCTTCGTCGCCGCGCTCGAGTCGGTGCCGCTGGAATCCGTGGGCGAGGCGGCGGCGGGGCCGCTCCCGCTCTTGTCGCTGCCATTGTCCATGTCCAGCGGGAGCTTCATCTTGGCCAGCGACTCCGTGAACTGCTGCATGCTCTTCATGTACATGTCCATGATCTCCTTCTGGTTCACCTGCACCTCCTCCGCGAAGTTGAAGCTCATCGCCGGCGGCGGCTTGTCCACCGCGTTCTCAGACACGGTGCTGGGCGAGTTCACCGCCGGGCTCTCCTGAACGGTGGGAGACGAATCGACCTCCGCCGCGTCCGAGGCCTTCTCCTTCTGGCCTGCTGATGAGAGGGCGTTTCCTGACGGCTCGGACGGGTTGGACTGCGGGGTGGCCGGGACGGCCGCGGCCGGGGACTCCGTGGTGGACACGCTGCTGGCTGCCGTCTCGCTCCGGAAGGCGCCGGCCGAGTCGGCGGTGCTGTAGTCCGTGGAGAAGCTCTGCACGACGCGCACGCCAGCGTCGTGGGACTCGGTGGCGGCGCCATCCACGTCCTCCGAGGTCAGGAGGCTCTCGGAGCTCTGCGTTTCCATGGCCGTGCACGGCAGCCCAACATATTCCGAGAGCATAATCTGGTTTTCCTCCACAAGATTCATGTCAGGGAACTCCATGTTCTCGTAGTCCTTCCCTGCGCCAGCGCCGGCTCCGCCGCCGGCGTTCTCGCACTCATCCGGATCGGCCAGCGCAGGCTTGGGCGTGGGCGAGACGGGAATGACATCGGGCACGACCCCGATGTACGAGAGCTCGAGCTCCAAGAACCCGGCCGGGGAGTGGAAGAGGTCGTTGGTGGAGAGCGGGAACTCGCGCGCGAGCGTGCCACCCTCGGCGGCGACGACGTCCGGGAGCGGCACGAGCGCGAAGCCCAGCAGCTGGTCCTGCAGGTAGTTCTTGACCCGGCTGAGCATCCAGACCTCGCAGCGGAGCGCGGCGTCGACGTCCCCCGCGCGCACGCCGACGCGCACGGACTGGTCAAACACCGGGTTGCGGCCGCCGCCATTGATGACCTGCGTGGACGCCGCCGGCGCGCCCTCCCCCGGCAGCGAGAGGCGCGCGTACACGTCCTGCTTGTGGTAGATGCAGATGTTCTGGATGTCCCGCGCGCTCCGCACGTGCACGTCCACGTACCCGATCAGCTCCCCGCCCCCGTTCGTGGAGGCGGCCGGCGCAGAAACCGCCTCCATCTGCTGCTGCTGCTGCTGCGACTCCATGATGAAGAAAGCACCTCCGCCGCTAGCTCCTCCGCAACTGCAACCAAGAAACAAGCACGAATCAAACGAAATCCATACAAGATTAGCGTTAATTCCCCAGCACACAGGTGGGAGAGCAGCTGGATGGTCAAAATCCAAGATTAGGTGCGCAAGCCGGAGATAAGGAACCGTCGGCGGACGCTTACCACTGTACAGCGAACCAAACCGGAACCGCACACCAGCCAGCCAACTCGATTCAACTCAACTCAACTACTCAAACATCAACCGGAGATAAAGAACTCCTCAACAAATTTCCATGCCAGGGAGAAGTCGATCGATGCATAGGTAGGTCCCCGTCCCAACCAAGGGAAAGCGCAAGCAAGAGCTCAAATCCCACGGAAAACAAGGAAGCAAACAAGAGGGGGGGACGTCCCTCAGACTCAGACTCAGAGCGTGCTTACCCAGCGTGTGTCTCGTCTGTCCCGGCGGAGAAGAAGCAGCAGCGCCACTGGAATCAGGCGGGGTCGGGAGAGAGGGCGAGGGCCGGGACGGGACGGGAGGGGCTCGAGGACGGATATAACGCCAAAGTCCAAAGGGAATTAGGGCAGTAGCACGGGATTTTTTTATAGCCCCCTCCCCGCCCTCTGCCTTTCTTTTCTACACCCTTTACCTAACTGCGCTCGCTTTTATTGCCTTGTTCGGCCTTAGCCGCCAGCCAGCCAGCCTCCACAGACAGTCCACAGCACAGCAGCCTAATCTACTCCTACAGGCAGGATGATTGATAATCTAACCGGTGATATTATTGGCACGCTTAGCCGTAGATTATTCAGATCACGCAGTGGTAGTGTTCAAAAGCGGGCGGTGCCGCGGCCGCACACTTAGCCGTCAGGAGACTGCGCACGTTCCGGAGGCGTAGAAAATGGGGTGCCGCCGTAGCTTTAGAGAGCCGGGCGCATATACGGGTGGAAAATACGGGAAAGGGGTCGCGGGCAGGCGGGGAGCGCTTTGTTGCGCTGCTCTTTCAAGTTTCCACGGTGCGGAAAAGTCAGAGGGATTCTGCGAGCGCAAGCGGCCGCAGCGGGCCGGCCTGGGCTTGGAGCCTTGTGGCTGGCCGCAGCGCGTGACGGGGCCGGCCAATGGGGCGCCGCCACCTCCCTCCGTGGGTGGGCCCGCGGCGTGGGGGCGGGGGAGGCCTTTTGATGGGAGGCTGCGTTTCGTTTTTGTTTTTAATTGACGAGAACCGTCTGGGCTCGCTGAGCAGGAGGAAGGAGGAGAGGTTTCGCGGGTGGGTGTGGGTGTGGTTGTGGTGGGGCGCGTCGCTGTCAGTGGGGGACCCGGCGCGGCCGCACGCTTGCGCAGAGTTTTCAAAGCGGATATCATCCGCTTCTGCGGCCGCCATCATTCCTCGCCCGCCTCTCACCGATCCGAGGATGTATCCAATGCACCGATGCCGCAGAACATTTCAGAAAATCCGAATAAAATCTAGAGCTCAACTAATGCTATGTACTACGTAGTATTAATTGTTGAATTTGTCATTTTCTTTTTCTGAGCTTATCTTTCAAATTTTATCTTGAATTTTCATGACAACCTACATTTGTGTTGTGTGAATGTGCTAGCTTTTTTTTCATAATATTTCGACGCGAGTGCGGTGCACCAGATATTCTCCGATCCATCGATCGCTTGCTCACTCGTCCGCTGCCAAGGTGTTATTTTTACTCAATGGCCCTGACAACTCAATTATTTCGCCGTCTGGCCCCGCTTTAGCGTCTAATATCTTGGCGTCTAAAGTACCCGTGGAGTCAGAGTTCAATTTCTGGACTTGACATCGGTGCTCACATTTTTCTGATTTTATTTCAGGCATTCCAACGAGACGTTCTCGTCGATTATGAAAGAGTCTGTGACGACTTCGTTAATCTCAAGATGATATGCCGGCTCAGTCTTTCGGAGATGCTCATATGGGTAGGGTGTTCGTCATGTGTTCATAAAGGTGAATGTGTGTATATACAAGTGTCTACGTCTATATTGTGTTAAAAAGACAATAAGAGGATTGACAAACCAACCTATGATTAGATGGTTATAGGAGAACTGTGGTATCCCAAACTCATCAGGGTCAAAGTATAAGACTTGATACTGGTGCTCATATTTTCCTGTATTTATTTCAAACCTTTCGACAAACTGCATTCCGTGAGAGATGTTCTTGTCGTCTACGAAGGCGTCTGTAACGATCATTCTCAAGATGATACGCCACTAGAAGGTGCTTATAGGTAGAACGTTAAATAACAATAATAATAATAATAATAATAATAATAACAACAACAAAAAATGAGGATTGTTTCTGTCTGTCTGTCATAAAATTACCGCTGAAGTTGGCAGAAATTACAGCAATGCCACAGACAAGTAAAAAACCGGTTCTCTGTACTACGCCCGTTCGTGCTGCCCGCACTGGGTTAATGGGCCACGTTTGACCTCTGGGCCGGCCTGCCTCCTAGTGCAGCCCATTAGCTATTAGGAAAAAGAAATTCTCACAAAGAAAAGGCTGTTATGAAAAAGAAAAGTGAGTTCCTACAGCTCGAACCAACACACAACCTCACACACCATCGTGTATTTCTTCCTCTTTGAATTTTCCTGTCCGTCGATAATAAGTACCCAAAAAATATTCAAAGGTCCTGTTGTATTTAACACATTACAGAGGCTCATACATATCCATATACACTCATCTCTATAAGTATACGCACGTACACTATATCCCTACGAACACCTCTGCTAGACTGAACCAGCACATCGTCTTGAGATTGACGAAGTTGCCACAGACTCCTTCATAGTCAACGAGAATATCTTCTCCCACTGAACGCACACCGCCAGAAGGCGCGAAATAAATTCAGAAAAATGCGAGCATCCAAGTTTGAGACTTGGACTCTAGTGGGCAGAGGATACCATAGGTTGGTTCGCATGACTTGTCTTCTTACCACTCGTGTCCAATTGGGACTCATGCAAGATTCGTTTTTCAATAGCCCAGAAATATGTAGTCCTCACTTCATACAAAGCAGAATCCATTATCTTTATATATATGCAAAGTTGCCCTAATTTGCTGCCATGGACCAGCATGGGACGCCGTCATCATCCCTGATGCACCGAAGCTCACCTAGTTGAACCCTCACACCACTAAGAATGCATTAAGGAGTAGAATCCATTCAAACGAAGAGGAGCTCGAACCATGTATCATTGAGTACGAATTTGATCGTTCAATCTACACCTACCACTACAAGCCCACGACATGCTACTTGGGAAACTTTTCAATTACTTGCACGCATCACCTACATTTCGCCAGCCTCCTAGATATTGTCAATCATCATATTACTATTATTGTCTGCGCGCACCATGTTCCATCCCATCGACATACATGACCCGGATGTTTCCAACTCCAAGCAATAAGGAGCATGTGTTGGCAATACTACATGTTTTGAGAATTGCTGGTTGGAATATTGGAAGTAAAAGTCGCATATCACTAATATTGGAGCACCTAAATCTCACTTCATGGAATATTAGAGCAGAAATACTGGAACTGCGTGATTGACACCAGGATTGTTTTTTCTTCTGCATGTATGCTACATCCTCACTTTTTGCATCACGATATATTTGATGAGATCTAATCAAATTATTTGCAATGCAGTGTAATGCCAGTGATTTGGTGTCCAATCCTATAAAACCATCTCGTTCGTAACTTTCACTTATTTGACTGGCAAAGAGGTAGATATTAGGAAGGAGATATGAGGTGTCTCTGAAGTTCATCATCTAATTCAAACATCACAAAAGATGAGAATTATAATTCAAAGGGATTAAATACTAACCTGCTAAATTCTTTTAGAAGAATTAACCAATTAGTATCTCAGTGAGTAACTTTGAACTAGCTACTAATTTTAAAATGTGTTTAGCTGCTAATTTTAAAATGGGTTGGCGTGTTAAAAGAGAAGGCGTAGAGCCATGAGAGGTCTTGACGATGCTTATTGAGTTAGAGGTGTGTGATTTTTTTCACCCGTTGCAAATGCACGGGTATATTTCTTAGTAACATAAACTTCATTATCCGGTACTACCTCTATAGCTTAATATGAGGCGTTTTTGGACACTATATGACAGTGTCAAAAAAGATCTTATATTTTGTTATGAATGGAATACATTTTTGGCACTAGGATGAGCTAAGATGTTTTTCATTGTCCAGATATATAATTTTATTGTTAAATAAGAAGATATCTACATACAGAGAGTTGGTCCAATGTATAGTAAAACCCAAAAGAAAAAGCCTAAATTACAGACGAATCTGGATAAGGCCCAAGAAAAAAACAGCTGTTGTTGGTCACCAATCCAAGAGAACGAATCGACATAAAGACCACACTGAAACAGTGCTACTCCCTCCGTTTCTAAATATAAGTTTTTTTAGAGATTCAACTATAGAGACTACATTCGGATGTATATAGACGTCTTTTAGAATATAGGTTCATTCATTTTACTCCGTATATAGTCTATAGTGAAATCTTTTAAAAGACTTATATTTAGAAACGGAGGGAGTACTACTAGTAACTTGCAAAATAAAACCGTCTGATTATTCTAAACCCCGGAATCAAATGCCTACGTGGTGCCGACCGCGCGTGAACACGGAGTAGTAATAATGAAGCGCTAGTACAGTAGTACTACTGGCAGATGCAGATCAGACGTAGCCCTCCAACGTTCGACTCAGAGAATCGAAGAGAGGTGCATGCACCCGGCCGCAGATTTCTTCCACTTTTTCCCCTGGTGAAGCAGTATCGCCTGCATTTTATTCCAAAGAAAAGGAAAAAAAGAGTATTCCATCGGCCACCCGGCGTGCAGGATATGGATCGAGATCCAGCCCATCTGCCGCTACAGCGAATTCTGGTTGCCATGGCGCCTAGCCTAGCCTAGCCTGCTTGATCATCCAGCCCATGGTCTGCGCCTTGTTTGATCATCACGTGTACCGTGTACGGGGCGAGGCATGATTGGAAGCACGGAGTACTCCCTTCAACTTTGACCGTAAATTAACTATCAAAATTGATTACGGCGGGAGCAAAAAATATATCAGTGGATTCGTATTTGAAAGAAGTTTTCAATTATATAATTTTTTTTCCGCCGCGGTTGGTCTCATTGTTTAAATTTATGTCAAAGTTAAACATCAGGATGCACAGGCACACTATATTTTAGAATGGAGAAAGTATCGTTTTGCTGTGCAATGCTAACCGTGTGGTGGTGCCACATGACGGGCGTTGGTAGGCGCCGGTGCAAGTGAGAAGGACGGGGGGTCCGGCGCCGGTGCAGCCGATCACGTGGTGTGACTTGCCGCCAAAACGGTCGTCGCTTTCCACTTGATTGAATGCGTGCGCCATGCCCGGCCGGTACGAGTCGTCGCGATTGACATGATGGAGTGATGGATCACAAACGTTGGTGACGCCTAGTTAGTCTTTAGAGCAACTTTAATGGAATGACCCATTTCGTCCTTTTACGTTCGTTTGGATCGGCGCGGATAAAAGTGGTGGCCCAACGCGTCGACCCAAACTTAAATTGTATCCGTCTAGTGTCCGCGCCGACCCATTTCCGACTCAAAATTATGCCTGGAATGCGTCGGCGCGGACGCGCCGCGCGTCTCCTCACCGTCCGCCGCATCCACACTTGGCGGCCACCCAACCGCCACTGGTTGTCTTATTTATGATGACCACCGACAACGGGCCCACGCGTCAGCCAGTGAAAGCGTCCTTTTTTAATCACGCGTGCGGCGGGGTCGGCCTCATCTACTTCTCCCGTCCACATCTGGCCTCACACCACTCCCTTTGCTTCCTCGCCGGCGACCGCAAACCCTAGCGCGTCCATGGGCCTCTTCGGCAGCAGCAATGGCAAGGGCAAGGGCACCCCCGGCGCCTCGTCCTCCCGTGCTCCGCTCCCCCCCCCTCCTCCTCCTCCGGCGGCGACGCGTTTTCGCCCTGGTCGCCAGCGCCTGCACATCCCGGTGCACCAAGCGCGGTGGCACTGGAAGTACAGGCAGCCATTGTCGTACCCCGATGTCACGCTGCCGCACCGTTGGCATTTGGATCCGCAGCGGATCCCGGTGCCGACGGTTCCGCGTACCCAACGGGCGCACGACGACGAGGTGCCCAGGCGCGCGCAGCTCACGCCGGAGCAGCGTCGGCTGCCAGAGTACGCCGCCGACTCCCCCAACTGGGAGGCGTGGTTCGCCCTTGAACACGAGAAGCAACGGCGCTCGGGTATCGACGCCGTCCCGCCACCGTTCCCACCGCCGCCCCCGCAGGTAGAGCCGGAGGACATGGAGGCGGAGGCGGAGTACCAAGCCGCCCTCAAGGAGGCCCTGCAAGACGCGCACTGAATGGGCTGGAGCAAGCCCTTGCCCTGTCGGCGGCGGGGGACTCCGTCCACCCCCCGCTCTTCGTGCCACCGTCGCCACCCGTCCAGCCCGAACCCAAGCCAGAGCTGGAGCCGATGTGTAAGTTCCCCGCCTCCACCCACTTGGCCAGAGGAGGCCTACTGGTGGACGGGTCAGTATCGCGAGTGGGTGAGCGCGCCTTCCGTCCACTTCGCCGCGACGCCGGAGGAGGAGGCGGCCCACCTCGCGCGATGGAAGGATCACTGGCTCCGCCAGGAGCAGGCCGACTGCGAGGAGCAGATGCGCTACGAGTCCATGCTCCAACGCGATGCGGAGGCGCTCCGACTCGTGGAGGAGGAGGAGGAGCGCGCGGCTTGCCGCAATGTCGCCGCCGGAGGAGGCTGCCCTGGCAGCGTACCAGGCGGCGTTCGGGTGGGCTGGCCCTGCTCCAGTCGTCATCGACCTCACCGACGACGGCGACATCGACGACAAGGGCAAGAGCAAGGCCGACGACGTCTAGGGCAGCGTGCGGGGCGGCAGCAGGCGGGCACAAACTTTTTTAATGTTTTATTTAATGTTTATTAGATTTAGGTGGACTTTGGACGGCGTTTGACCGGCCACTTCATGTTTAATTATATTTATTTCGTGCAACTTGTTATTTTTTTTCACGGCGGCACATTTGGGTTGGCCTTCCTGTTGGGCGGTCAAGCCGATCCATTTTAAAATACGAACGCGCATGTCCGCCTGGCCGACTCAAACGAACAAAAAACATACGTGTCTGTTTGGGTCGCCCCGTTGGAGTTGCTTTTACGTACCTTGTCTACTTTCATTGTACTAGATGGAGTGTTAGTATTTCTCTTGGTTCACTAGCTCCCTTCACTGTCCTTACGTATTGGCTAAGACAGTTGAGTGACTGGAAACAACACTGAACGGAGAAGGCCGTCGCTTGACGGAACACACAAGACTTTCGGCACAGGGAGGGGGCACCGTACATGCGTGAGGATGGATTCGGTGGTTCACCGTGCATTCAACAGGGCTTCGGTCCGTGGCCCGGCCGGAAGACTGGTGGGCAAGGAGGAGGTCCCGGCCGCACCAGATCCATGGTCCCTGTGAAAACGCTTGACCCCAGAGAAGAAGTGCGCTAGTACAAGGCAACTGCACCGCCTCGCGTCCGCAGTCCGCACGCACATGGCCGGCCAGTGCCGTTACGTACGGAGCAGCATGGGGGGGCGTCTCCATGCGTGGCGGGACACCATCATCATTCATTCATCAATCGCTTCCGCCATCACCACATGAAAACAAAGACGAGTTTGGCGGGCGTCCACGGCGCCGACGTTTCGCAAGTTTCTCCATCGGTGCAGCCCCCGGCACGGCCTCTCTCCCTCTTTCTTTCTTCAGGCTTCGTGCTGCAACTGGGCGTCGGCACAGCGCGCGTGCGTACGCGCGCAGTCTGTCACGCGACGACGAGGACACGAGCTACCGAACGCGCGAGCCCGCGTGAGCGTGTTGGGTCGGAAAAGAAGAGCGAGCGGAGCGGGTGATCTATTTTACAGATCACGGGCCGCTATAGTTTATGAATGAGCGCCAGGTAGGTAACGTCGGCTGCATATTTTATGGCCGGCGGCCGGCTGACTGACTGATGCCGATGCGCGACCCTTGTTGGCGAGCCGTCGGCGGCACCTCCAATTTGGAATGTACTATTCATGCATTTTCTATGTGCTGTGCTGACTGACCACACGGGCCACACTTAGCAGCATAAGTTTGCGAGAGGGCTTGCTCACGCTGTTTCTGACTCCAGCACAAAAACACAAGTGGTAGTTGCGCCTCTGAAAACTCCAAGCTATGGACGTGCATCTGCAAGCTGTTCCGGCTCAAAAAACAGAGATAAAAGACCCACCAAACCAGGGTCAAAACATGGCCTGCCAGCAGAGTCAAATAGCCTACGCCCTCTTCGCGTTGCCACTGGGTTGGTAAATATGAACACACATTTCCACCGCAAAAGCGAGCGGTCAAGCAGATAGAATCGGCGTCAGCGTCACTGTCACGTCCTAGTAAGCCATAGCTATAAACAACAACAGGAACACGAGGAGCGGGTCAGCTCTGGAGACCGGAGGACGCAGCCCAACAGCGCTCAACTGTGCTACGTCCACGGAACTTCGCCATCCCGATCCGTTAGCTAGGCGGGTCGTACTCTGACGCTAAATCAATGTAACAGGCGGCAACTCGGACACGCGTCACTCGGCCAGCTAGCCAAGACAACGACCCGAGATTACGAAAGCTGTGCGACGTACCGCCGGTCTGGGGCTTGTCCTCGGAGCCGAAACCTATCGCCAGCATCGCACGAACCCTTGCTGCCAAGGTTCGGCTGGCATTCCTGATCTTTGGTTCATGTGTTGCATCAGGAACCAGTGGTCGGGACAGGCCTATGTCGATCAGTCACAAAGGGGGCCACTAGTTATGACAGCCAGCCAGCTTAATCTTGAATGAATTGTTGAGTGCAACCATGGCATACCACACTGGCATGCATTGGTTCGCCATAGCTGTGTTTACTGATCATGACCGCACCGCAGCTATCGCAGTGAACCAGTCACTGGAAGCAGCAGCTTCCATATGGATTACATCAGGTAAATAAGCTGAGTGCCGGAGCTACAAAATGGTAGAAACAGACCAATTGGAGCAGGAGAAATCGGGGAACAAACAGTCTGCGAAACTAGTCACGCTAAAAGAGATCATAAAACGGAACTGGGGGGATTTGGACTCCAAACATCAAGTAAAAAAGACATGGTTTGGCTATCCAACATTCCCCTATAACCTCGCGAAGCCAGGCCGGCATTACCATATTACCGCCCTAACATACATCCTGTACACAGCTACAACCCGACACCACACATATAACCCAGCAGCAATCCATGTCCTCTCCTAAGATAACCTGGATGCTCCTCTCAACTGATGTTAGTGACCAACCATCTAACCTTCCATCGCTCGCTGTCGCAGACCACATATGTATTCACATAACCCAGCCAAGAGCCGGCCGTTATTTACACATGATCATCGCGCCCCGTCCCATCCATATAGGGCTGCTCTGTTCTCGACGCCAAAATCAAGAACGGAGCCGGCGAGGTGAAAGACAAACCAAGCATTACTTTCTGCATTTCACCATACCAGTGCTGCATTACCTAGCCAAGCTCGTAGCTTCGTCGCATGACCAGCGCGTCACCGAGCCATGCTCGTAGCTGCGCCGCCTGGTCCGGCTCGGCAGCCACCGCCCCCTTGTCGCTGCTCGCGCAAGTAACCTAGCAAGGTCTCAGACTGCAAATCACACAACCAAACGTATAAGTGGCTTGGAATTCAGGAATGATTTTCAGCTTGAGCAAAATATAATATAAGGCATACACGGGGTGTGATCCCTCTTTTCGAAAAAAAATAAGGCACGCATGAGGATCAGATTAGCCATGGCAAAGTAGACAGACTCTAGTGGCGAAACTTATAATTATAAGCACGTACACGAGTATTTCAGTGGGAAATCTCAAGCACATGGTTTCGCACGGAGTTTTAAGCTTGCCCGGTTTCTAGTGACACCAAGCATTGTTTACGGAATTTTAAGAACTGTAGTTTTGACTTGGTGGCCTCTTTGATCTGTAGGAGAGAGGGCGCTCATCCTCCTGTACTTCCAAGGTCTAGCAGATTCAGGACTGTACTCAACAAAGTGTGAAATTAAGCAAGTGCGGATCTCGATCATGTGAACTGAATGTACAAGTCAACACCTCCTTGATCAGTAGTAGTACAAGGCAATGCATACAACTAGCGTGATGAAACACGTGTTGATTTGGATGTTTTTGAAGACCAGGTAGTAGAAATCTACCTAAACTCAGGTACACGCACGCTGTCATTCTACCGGTCCAGAGTTAATACATTTTCCAGTACTGTCAATCGGACTTCAATCAAACTCTAACTGACTAATTCGTTGCACACTGTTCAGTACAATGACAGTGGCATCAAAAGCTCAAACCTTACACTGACAAGTTAAAATATTGATATATGAATGAGTACTCGTACTAATCACCAATTGTTATCGCTAAAATAAAATTCGGCAAACCACATCCAATTTCAGCATAACATTTGTAATGAGAGGGTTAGAACGTATACCTTGTGCTTTGCACGAGCAGAGCCGGACTGCGAGAGCGCAACGAGCGGTGGGATCGCCCCTTCTCGGACGAGAAGCGCACAATTGCTGGAGCACTCGGAGCACAGCTGAAGCAGAGCGACCACGGCGAACTCCTTCTCCCTCGCAGGGCCGTCCTCGATGGTCTCGACCAGTGCGGGTATCCCACCGGCTTCCACCACAGCGTCGCGGCCCTCGGCTATGCTGGCGAGGCTGGCAAGGACCACCATTGCCTTCTCCGACGTCCCGGTGCCGCGCTCGCCGATGAGGTGCACGAGCGGCACGACGGCTCCGGCGCTGACGGCACGCTCCTTGTTCCGGCGCGCCGAGCAGAGACGGTAGAGCGTGGTGAGCGCGTCCTTCTTTCCCCGGGTGGAGCCCGCGGAGAGCAGCGCGACGAGCGGCGCGATGGCGCCGCACGCGCCGATGGTGGCGCGGTTCTCCTCGATGCCCGACAGGCTGAGCAGCGCGCACGCCGCATTCTGCTTGGCGGAGGCCGTCCCGGTCCGCAGCGCGTAGACGAGCGGCTTGATGGCGCCCGCCGCCGTGATGGCCGAGCGGTTCCGCTCCTCCAGGGACAGGTTGAGCAGCGCCGTCACGGCGTTCTCCTGCGCCACCGGGTCGGTGCTCCGCAGCAGCGGCACCAGCGCCGGGATCGCCCCGGACACGCCGACCAGCTCGCGGATGTCGGAGCGGTGCTTGGCCAGCAGCCTTATCCTGGCCGCGGCCGCGCGGCGCGCGTCGGGCGCGGCGTCGGGCCCCAGCGCCTGCACGCACGCCAGAACGAAGGGCTCCACGCGGTCCAGCGGCGCCGCGTCCGCCGACAGATCCATGGACTCGAGGTCGTTCAGATCCACGGCGGCGAGGTCCGGCGCGTCGGATCTGAGCGTGGCGGCGGCCGCGGCCAGGCGCTCGAGCTCCCCGGAGATGTCGGAGTTGAAGCTGGAGTAGTCGGAGAAGTCCCGGGACAGCTCGAGCATCTCCGTGGCGGCCGCGTTGGCGGAGGAGGACTTGGCGACGGCCGCCGGGTGCGCGGGCCCCGCGGTGGCCGCCAGCTCGCTGAGGCGGAAGTCGATGACGGAGTCGGTGAGGTTCTCGATGTCCGAGTCCCCCTCGTCGGCCGCGGCCGCGGCGCGCGGGCGGGAGCTGGGCCCCGGGGGCGAGTCCGGGTGCAGCAGCGCGGAGCGGATGGTGCGCATGGAGTGGCCCGGGCGGCGCGGCGCGCACGG